CGAGGGACGAGCCCTGTGGCTCTGCAGGGGTAGAGCCAGCTCCGGCCCCCAGCGCCTCCCCGGGGCCTTCCTCGGAGAGGCGGCGCGGAGGAGCCGCCGGGCAGGGAAGGGAAGGGGAAAGGGAAGGGAAGGGAGGGGAGGCGGCGCCCGCCCGGAGCCTCCTCGGAGAGGCCTTGCTCTTGGCTGAGATGGAGTGTGGGCAGCAGGAGAAGGGGCCCAGAGAAGCTCTTCCAGCCCCCTCACCTGCAGGGTGCGGCTCGAAGTCTCCACGGTGTGTTCTGCCTAGACACGGCCTTAGGTGTTAATGGTAACATTCCTCCTTCTGTATTCATCTGCGGTGCTTACAGGGACTGTTGGCACGCAATTTCTGTCACTGTAGGGACAGGAACGCATTGATGTGAAACCCAGTTTAGAGGGCTCCAGTCCACATGTGCGCCAGTAGCCTTTATGTTAATAATAAAAAAGTGAGATGTTTTAAAGAGGGACCAGGTAGTTGAGCGTTTCCATTCGGAGTCTCCATAGCAATGTCCTCAAATTAATATTTTAAGTTCTGCAGAAGGTAGTCACGTTCCAAGTACAGGCAGGATTGGCAAACTGGAAGAGGAGCTTGATCACAAAATGTCCCAGTCATTTCCTCCAGTGTTTTGCTTGCATAATAAAAATACCATGAAAAAATAGATACATATTCCTTCAGTAGCCCAAGGTTTGTTTGATTGTTTGCCACTGAAATATCTGGACTTAAAATTGTATATGAACGATGCATTATTTGCAAGTCAGCACTGTAGTGACTTTTTTAGTACAGCTGCACTTGACTAGATACTTGGAACTAAGTTCAGTTTTGCACCACGAGGACATCGTCAATGTAATCTCTTTGATTTCAGATCTGATTTTCCACCAGAGAAGTTTGCATCCTGAACTGGTAGGGCAGTAGACTGATGTATTTGTATGCTTCACAGAGATGAAGCTTTAACTATTGTTTGAGTACATGCACAACATCCCCTTCCAAGACAGGACTTTCTTTTCCCTTATTTTCAGTAGGAATTTCTTTTATATTGTATTTAAAAACTAGAATATAGCACAACTCAAGCATTAAGGCAACATGCTAAGCTTTATTCTTCTCCCTCACATCATTTAAAAGAGCATTTTATTATTATTTTGTATTTAGAGACTAAATCTTTGTACACCTTCTATCCCTGACTTATATACTAGATTTTCTTTGTAAGTCAATATAAATTCCATAGCTCCTTTGGTATCCTAAAGTATTAGTTCAATTTGATGTTGTAAAGTACTATGCATAATGAGATTTTTTTAAAAAATAGGACTTTCAAATTTCCTATTCTCAGAACAAATGTAAATAAGTATTAAGCAACAAAAATGCCTCAGCATGATGTGCTGCTGTTCATTGCAATTCCAGGACTAACATGTAAATTAAGCAGTTTTCTGTATGTATGAAAAGAAATTTGATTTCCTTTACAGCTGTGAGTATTGAATGTACAGTTGAATAATATATTTTAACTATTACTAAAAAGAAAAAACACCAGTGTCTTGACAAGAAATATATAGTATGCTGTATACATTAAGGGACTTTGAAGCCGCAAGGGATAGCTGCAACAGTATTTAGGCTGCTATACCTTTCAGTATAGTCTATAGAATTTTATATAGTAAATCTTATAGTTTATCCATTAAGTTGTGGTTATACAAGAGGATTTCCCTTGGAAATACATCCAACTTTCAATCTGAGGAGTGGGAGTCATGATTACTGTTCACCTAAATAAAGCCTGAAGCTTAATGTAGAAACTAAAGTATTGCTTTGCTACTTCTGAAAATTGACATTGTTCACTTGAGACCAGGTTAATTCTCTTGTCAAACTACTCTGTTACTCAGAAAGTAAGGTACTACTCCCTGAGAACAAGGACCACCAAGCTGGGGCCTTTGTGTTTCTATCCACATCTGCAATAGTTTTACGTAAGGCATTTTATATGAAGAAAGATTTTCAAACATTACATTATTTGATAGTCAAAGACAAGACAAGACTTAAACCCGCTCTTTAAAAATGTAATTTTAGGTCACTGCTGATTTTTTTCTGTAGGTATATGTTGATCCCCAGTAATGGTCTGGCTGTTCTGCACTGTCTTGTATTGAAAAGTACCTCACCCTAGAGTGATGCTACACACAAAGTAAAATCCTACTCAGTGAAAAAGTGGCAGAATGTGACCTTAAATTAATTTGCTTGCCTCTTTCTTGACATGTCCCCTTCACATTGATTTTCAAGGAAAATGTGTGAAGCCTCTGTCTTTAATGCCTCCCTCATCTCCCAAGAAATTCCCAGTATTCAGACCTTTGTGTGTGCAGAGATGGAGAAACAATGATTAAACTCATGGACAGATGTCTGAAAGCAGGCAAGAAAACAGAAGCCCAAGTTAAAGGCTTTATATCAAAGTGAAATGAGCTTGTCAAAAATCAGATTTATTCCCATACAATCAAAGACAGAGATCTCTTGTTCTGCCATTGCTGTTGGCAGAGTTAATACCCACAAGGAAATTAAAATAATATTTAAGCTATTTGTTGAGATAGGGTGTGCCATTGCTCCAACTGAAATTACAAGCGAAATGTTTCTGTTGACTAGAAACAAGCATAGTTGGAAGTCTGTTGTATGCTGTATCTATGTGTCAGACAGTTTGTCCATGATGTGTATACGCTCTGCTGCTTTCTGCTAGGATGTCAGACCTGTAAAGCCTGTGCAGTCATGTTGACCTCTATTACAGGTGCAGCCTACAGAGGATAAATCCTAATGTTCATTTAGCATCAAGCATGTATATGGTAGAAGGAAGGTAACATTCTTTAGATCTTTAAGAGAGAGACTTTCCATTCTTTTTGAGTTTGCTTATTTACTTTGAAAAGAGAAGTTTTAAGTAAAAAGTGGGTAAATTCTGTGGCAGTACACTGATTCCGTGTACTTCATGAAGAATTACCAACCAATAATATTCAAGCCAACAACTGAGTTTTGGCTTTAGATAAAGTAAAATGCTTCAGTTGATTCCAAATGTTGATTTTAAAGAAAGAACAAAATAATCTCTGAATGGACGTTATTGTTTAGATTTGTTAATTTTGAGATAAATATGAGTAAAATATATGTAAAAGAATAACGTCAATAAAAACTATTTTTTTTACAATGTTTAAAATATGAGTTACATACAAGAGCTATGTAACATCAGCTTGTTTTATCTCAACAGAATTTTCAGAGGAAGAGCAGCGGAGCTTAATACTAAGAGAGTAAGCTCTTCAACTTTATTTAACTGTTTACATTTTCAGCATAGTAGTTAAAAGACTGTATGTCTCTTTATAACAATCTATAGCACCTCTTTAACAACCATAGCAAGTATCAGAAAAAATGCAAGGGAATTGTAATTTTCTTCCATCTTCCTTGAGAAGAAAGGATCAGTGGAGACCGATCAGGTGATACAGATTCATGGTTAAAGAAAAACAACATTTTTAGTTAGCTTTTGTGAGAAGATCTGCTATCTTTGTATTTACTAATCTTAGCCCATATTTGAAAAAAAGGTTTAAACTAGACACATACCTCAATAATTTTTTTAATACCTTGTTTAGTGCCCATGATATTGACCATCTATTTAATAGGGAAGGTTTTGTTATTGGTTCGCATTAAGCAGAAAATTACTGTATTTGTGAAAAAGAAAGAGGAAGGAAGAGAGACAGAGTGTGTAGATGCATGCTGATTTCATCATTGTCAAATTATAATTTAGAGAGTGAGT